TCCAATTAATTGATGACACTGGATTAAAAACTACACAGGAACTGTAATTGGTTTGGACCATGCCATATATTATGTCTCTCAATTTTTCATTAAGTGTGAGAATCCAAAATAAACCCAGGCATCCTGCATGATCTGTAAAGTTCTCCTTACAAGACTGATCCTTGATCTACTTTTTTCTGGAGATCATGAAGATTTCTTATTCTGATGACTAGTGGGATTTTTTTTTTTTTCTGGATACAGTAAATATGATTTATGTTCCTTTATTGCACAGGTAAAATCCTTTAAATTCTCCCTCCAGAGACCAATATGGTTACAGAAAAGAATACTGCCTGGTACCGTAATGGCATGGGAGAGAAACTAAAACAGGTGGATGCCCCACAGCAGTGCTCATAGCAAAGCAACTAAGAATAGTAATAGTGGAGCAGCACATCTGCTGTTGACTTTGCTGTAACATAACCTTTCTAATGCTACCTTCAGATCTACACTTGTGCCTAGTTACCCTGTAACTTAGTTTGCATCCTTCTCCTCTTTTTTTTTTTCCTTTGCTTCATGAGGTAGGCTTCTTCCTGAAGTATAATTGTGGTATCAGCCTAAAGGGCTAAAACTGCATCTCAAACTGCAGTAGGCAGTATGTCTATCTGATTGATCATCATAAAGCAGAGTGGCAGCGGGAGGCAAAGTCATCGGCACTGAATGTTCTAAGAAGGCCTTTTTTGTACTGAGATTAAGCTATCATGAAATATTTACGCTTACTTCTGCATGCACTTTATTGTCTGTTGGATATGTGCTTAGAAAGAGTTTGCTTAACCAATATAATACTGCCATCAGTGTTATGATGCAGAAGCTAGTGAGTTTATGCCAACAGTTAATTTTTGTTCTTAAATAAAGCCTTTTACACTTATGCCTTGTCATTATCTTTGTGTGCATTATTTCTATACAACCATACCATACATATTTACATGATCTGGCTGTACTTATTGCATGCAGTTCTATGAGAATTTAATTTGATGCAACGTAATTCACTTTGAAACCCTCAGTACATAAAATAAAGTAGTAATAATGACATTATGTGGGACTTTTCCAATAGATTCATCTTTTCAATGAAATGTAAAAGAAGTCCTCTACTACAGATTAGTATAAATGGAAGAAAATGTCCTAAAATACAGATATATGAAGACTTTCCTCAAACCTTGTCCTTTCCCAAGCTGAGAGCACAACCTGCTTAATTTGCCTCTGCAAACACTGGCCACTGCAGAAACTGCAGAATGGTTTTGCAATAATTATTTTGTACTTTAACATGAATTAGATGTAAGGGTCAGGGAAATTAACACTAGAATACCATTTAATCTAGGACATTAATCATTGTTAACTCATCTAATTTTACAATTAAACTGAATATTCAGTCTGTCAACCCTTCAGAGTATCCAATCTTTTTGTTCAATCTTAGCATTTTTTTGTTTTTATTTAGAGAAAACTTTATTATCAGGAAGCACGTCACTGAACTGTTAATGTAATCAATTCCATTTTATTTTCAAACCATTCTTGTGCTTTACTTTACAAAGTACAAAATTAGATATGATTAGATAATTATTATAGTTTGGTTAGACTGTACGCAATTCGCAGTGCTACCAGGAACGTGAAACAATGTTATTCTGCAAAACATTATCTTAGGGTCTAAAAACAAGCTAGAGACATGGCAAATAAAGAAGACTGATGAATGATAAGGCATAAAGCCTTTATCTCTGTATTGCTGGTTCCATTTCAGCTGATATTAATAGCAGCTGAATAATTATCTCAGGGATACGCAGCGGCTGACTGCAAGTGAATGAATGTGCGGTCTCACAAAATTTCCAGCCACAGAAATTCCTGTGCTAAGGCTGCTATTGTATACGACACCAACTTGAATGACCTGAGCACAGAAGTATGGCATAGCCAGGACCCTAGTACACCTTGCTACACCTAACAAGGTTCTCTTTCTGATCAGCAATGAAATGAGAGAGTCAGGTAATGCGAAGTCTGTTCACTGATGCCCTCCAGAAGAGAAAGAAATCCACTCCCTTGAGCTAAAACTTCACAAAATGTAAACTACCCAGAGAAAAGATTTCTATTAAACTGGCAGCACCTCCCAGCCATGGCATACCAGGCTGAGGCTAATGACACCATGGTTTGCAGAGGACTAACTGATAAAGAAAAAAATAAACATTTTTCACATTGATGTGATAAACACTATAATGAGTATACTTTTCCAAAAAAACGGCATACAACCTTTGCAGTGTTGGACAGCAACCAAAATTAATGAGTTGTACCACACATACTGAAATGCCTGTTAAAGTTGGTGGTGTAAGCAGGGAAGCATAATTTCAAGAAGTGTGTAACCACATTTTATTTTAAAGGACAGTTTCTGAACATGAAATATACAACAGACAATGTACCTGACCTCCCAGCAGAACAAGTCTCCCTAGCATTTAAAAAATAAAAGGACTATTTGTAAACATCAAAGGTTGAAATCAACCATATGAAAATACAAGAGTAAGTAAGAATTGCTTCTATCTTGCCCCAAAAGGTTACAGAAGGATGCCAAGTACAAAATACTGTATTTTTGAAAAGTAAACTGTGTAACTTGTTTAGGCTAGGGAAGACTGCCACTAAGTACAAGCCTTTCATGTTGATACTCTTCACCAGGAATGCCACAGTATCTTTTGAGGGAAGTTCCCAGTCTTCCTGTATATTTTTTGAGTGATATCAAGGCTGACAGATGAATATTTATTGTCGGCAAATCCAACAAACTTCAGCAAAACAATAAACTTCAACAAAAAGCTCACATGAATTCTGCACTTGGGTTATGTTTAGCAATTATTAATAACCTATTATGTTTAAGAAATGCTGTTTCTAGTTCAAGGAATGTTAAATACAGGAAAAGATCCAGCATCTGAGACTTGTCAGCTGGCTCACTACTAGAAATTACTATTCTGAAGAGTTCAGACATTATTAAAGGTGAGAATAATACAACACAGTCATGTTCCTTTCCCTTTCTTGTTCTCCTGTCCTCTACATTAAATCAGAAATCAAGAGAAGGATATGACCTCACAGGCAACCTACTTTCCTCTTCTGCCAATGCAGACTCATTCTCTATGATACTATCCATTTCTGAGAGCTTTTCAAAGCCTGTCTTTAAAATATTCTGATGGTTTTTCCTTTGTTAATTTTGATATATTATTTTACAGTCTAACAGCTCCCGTTAGTAAGGTTTTCCTGATAGTCAGCCTGAAGCTCTCTCTCATAATTCATTCCCTTAACTGTAAATTTCTTTATTCAGATTCAGTTCTATTTATGCCACACCAGACTGCACCGTTCTTCTGTTATTATGTTATGTTTTGAGCTAAAGTCTGATTTTTTCTTTCAATTATTTCTCATACTGAAAGGCAAAATCTTATACTGAAGTGAATACCTACAGTACAAATTATTTTTGCCCCAAAATATGTTTGCAAATTTCTGAGGTTTATTTTATTTTATTTTCTGTGTGTTTTCATAAGCCTTCATAAAAAAAGAAACACTGTCTTTTTGTTTTCCTTGATATTTATACTGCCTACTTATTCATTACTACCCCTGAAGTTTATTAATGATGCTTGCTTTGTCTTCCAGACAAGTGAAGATATTAAGAAAATACACAACTTTACACTACGCAAAAAATACTGTAATAGGACAATCTGTCCTCTTCGTACCTTTAATATCTTGAGTTTAACTTGGCTAATTCTTCCTCTCCCTGTAACCCATTCCTATCAAAACTATTTAAATAAGTTTTGTAGAATTACATTTATCGTCCTAATATATGTTATTTATAAGTCTGGGAGTACTACTTAGTCTTAGTTCAACTCTTCTCTTGAGGGTATACTACGTCTCAGCATTTTTCCATTTCACTATAGCATCAAATTAGACTTTAATGTTAAGTATTGCAGTTATGGCCTGACATTTACACAGTCACCTTTTCCTTCCCTTTCTATATTTCCTATTGAGTTGTTACATGTAATTCACAATTACATTTGGAAATTCACACCTATAAATGAAACCTTTTTTATTTTTCATTTAAGGTAAAGCCAACCTTATTTTAAATCACTGCAAGAAGTAATAAAAAAAATAAAGTGTTATTTTTCTGTCACTGCAACTGCACATATAGCTTGCCAACTCTTTAAGGAATGACCAAAATGAATCAAATTTCTAGAATTCCAGAAGATGAAGGCAAAATTCTTCCTCAAAATCACAGTCAGTTCACAGTTACTCATAGTTCATCCAAGCTGCACGCTCTGAATTGACCCAGACAGACTATAGCAGCTATAACTGGTTTGGATGCAATGCTGTGCAAACACATGGACAAGGCCACATCTGAAGTCGTACCTGGCCCAATAAGCGCCCCCTGGAACGGGGGCACACAATACACAACCGCCTGAATGGATCTGAGCCACTTTAATGGAAAAAGGACTACCTGGGCTGACTCCGCATACAGATACTTTATTATCTCTATGCCTTAACTTTTAACGTGCCCCACCACACCTGTATTACCAGTATCCAAAACTCCATTACTGCAATAGGAGAAAGTTCACTGATACTGTATTGGTGATAAAATTAAGTAAATAAACCATTCAATGCTAATAATTTTCCCCTTCCCCCCTTCTTTGTGTCCTATTATCCCATTTCTTCTTACAGGAAAACCATAGGTAGAATATGTACTTGATTCAGTACATACTTCATCACTGCACTGTGAGTCTTTGTCAAATTCTCTAATATGTAACTTAACAGACTTTATCTGCACTGGGAATGCCACTGTCACAAATATAACAGTGGGGTGTCATTTACTGTAATGCTGCCAACTGAATAAGTGCTAAGAGATAAGCAGTACTTCTTTTCAGCCCCATTCCTCTAATCCTAAATTTAAGGAGAAAAAAAGGCACAATATAATGAAATAAAAATAGAAGGAATTAAATTAAATAATGCTTTGCAAACACTTACAGTCCATAAATCTGTGGAGCAATTTCCAGTCGGTTCAGATGCATGTACAGCTCAATATCATGTTTCTTCAGCAGACGATCCTGAATTTGGTTTACCTTCGCTACAATAGCAATAGATGGGCCTAAGTCCTGTGGCCTTGCAAATGGCATAGGTGTAATCATCACATCTTTCTCCTGCAGACACAGAAAATGGGAAAAAAAGAACATCCTGTGAAGCCTTACTGTCTATAGGCATTGTCTACAAGAGATTTGCTTTGTTGTAATCATTGGCTTCCAAATAAACATAAAAATATCAATAACTTGTTTCTTTTCCAGGAAAAGAAGAATCTCAAGTATCCACTTCTGTGGATGGTATTGTGGGATTCCCCTTCCCAGGTGTGCCAAGGTTCATCCCCTTGTTCTGCATGTCAATTTTTACGTGTGCGCGTTTCTTTTCACGCTCTGACAAAGTGTTGACAGCTTTATTTTAGCTTTAATATCAGCAGACTGAGTCAGTCCAGAGCAAAGCAGATGAATGGTAACTTAGTAGAGAATATATGCCCTCAGAGGACAATAAGTTGCATGCCAAATAGGAAATAACTTATTTTTGCACAATCCTTTCTAAACAGGCTTCCCTTGCTCAGAAAATCTGGTAGCTGTACCTCAAAATCTACAGAACTTTGATAAAGCATCAGAAAACTTTTAAAACAAAAAAGAAATAGAACAGTGAGATGAACCTGACGGTTAGAAGGTAGTTGGCTGGACATAAAGACTGTGCAAACTATGTCATGGTCTAGAACATGACACACACCAAGTGAAAACAGTGGAAGAAAAGTACTGGAGTATTAGCATCCTGATGCTGCTTTAAATTTGTTCTTCTTGCAAAAGAGTGAAGTATTATTCAAAAAGAAACAATGCTAGAAAGAAATGCAGCAAGTAATGAGCCCCACTGAATAGGAAACGTAAAAAAGAAGATGAGAAATAAAAAAGAGTAAGTCAAACCTATCAAAAGAAAGACTGGGGAAAGGGAAATGGAGAATTAAGCTGTCGGGAACAATGTTTAAGTTATAAAAGAGGGAAAATTGGAACAGTAAGAAGAGAAGATTTTGCAATGACTTTGTTGCAGCTTCACTTTAAAAAATAGTTATTGTTTTTCTACCAGTGTATTGATACATTTACCCGTATACTGCTCAGTATATTGATAGAGAAGCATTATCAAGGTCAAAAGGTTAATACTTTCAGAAGACTTCATTACAGCTTAAACTGTTGAAAGACAAATTCACTTGGTTCAATACAGTGAAAAGCACATTATTTTTAACATTCAATAACAAAGAAAGTTGGGGTTTTTTTTGTGGTATAAACCATCCCCAAGGTTGTTTCCTATGGTTATAGTACCTCTTCAACCCCATTCTCCCTGTATCAGCATTTTAAGGGGAAGGAAGAGAAGTACTCATATTTCACAATCATTTACAACATGGTTTAACATTCAAGTGGGCAGTGAACATTTAAGAATTTCTACCAAAAAAACCTATTTTTTATGTTGATCTCCTTTGCTTGAAATATTTTGTCTTAATGATTCCATTCCTCTACTGCAGAAAATATTGTATGATGCTGAGCAGTGATTTCAGGTAAAATGTTTCTGTTTAAGGATCTGATCGATTATAAATTGTATCTTAAAATCTGCTTAATTGTTGCTTTGCTATGGCAATTGCAGCAAAGGGACTGATCTGTCTATTACAGTGTGGTGATTTTGCCATGCTGTTGTGGTACCGAGACATATTCATTTAAGATGCCCTAGCAAATCGTTTGACAAAAGCTCCCTCAGACCCTCAAATAAAGCTCACTGAAATGGCATCCTTTCATTCAAAACCTTTTGGTGTTCTACCAAACAGAAATTTAAAATAAAACATCTAGCATCTTAGGGGCTTATAAGAAATGTTGCTACTTAAATACTAAAGTTCTTCACAGCTGCAGGTACATTGAGAAAGGATATTTCTCCTAGCTCCTTTTTTAATTATTCTATTAACTTCTTTATTACCAAATTGGGCAGCCTTCTTTTTACCCTGATTTTCGTTTCTCCATTGTATGGTTATTTCTTACTGTTTTTTCAGACCCATTTCATTATTTTCTTGGTCACATGCTAGAATGCAAAGTACCGAAAAAGGGTATCCACTAATCTCCTTCTAATCTATAGAGAAAAACACTCTTAAAGTATGATATGATAACATTGCCTTTATGTTAAATGCCAGTCTATAGTAATTTTTTTGCATAAACATATCAATTTATCTTTGAAACTAATCATAAAAGTCTGTAAATGTACATATTCACAGACTGTGTACGTTCCATTAGTTGGCATACATCTGGGCTATGAACTTTATTCTGGTTTATTCAAGCCGAGTTTAACTTTAGCTTGACCACTGCATGCACTCATAACTCCAATGACTCAAAAGATCTGTATTTTTAAGCTTTTTCTCAATTATAGGCATAGATTCTTGTATAGAAATCTCAACATTAGAATCTTTCTACTTAGTTGAACTTGCAATATGAGAAGACTAGCTAGTTACCCAGATTAGCCTTTACATCATTAGTTGTCTGTGGGTTCTGAATATCAAAACAAATGCAAGCTTCCCCTTACGGAGGAGTGCCAAAACTGGAGTTACTTGTCACTTGCAGTATTTGTGCACCTTGGCATAATGCATCACTGACACATTGCTGTCTGTCAGACTGACTATCAACACAGCTAAGTGCATCAAATAATATATGCTGGCTTGCCATTTTTAAAAGCGTGAGATAAGTAGATGGTATCCATCAAAATGCAGTTTATCAGCATCTCAGAAATTAACCCCCTTAACAGAAATCTTCAAAGCATGACAGAATCTGTGGGGACAGACTATTGCAATCAATAATCAATGCCTTGACTGTCCATGCCTCCTGATTTGGTGCACTCCACCAAGCAGCTCAGTGGATGACTAGAGTGCATATGATAAGTCTGTTGTCTCCTCTCAAGCAATTTGGTTGAGAAAATACATTTAGTCAGTTGAAATTGCTCCAAAAAAATCACATTGGCTGGTGTGAAAGAAACAGCCCAAACAGAAAGATGCTCAAAAAACCTAATACAACCAAGCCGCCAAAATGTTTAACTAGAAATGACTCACAGTGCCTGTGCCTAAAGCACAGAAGCCAAGTGGACAACATGATACTGTGCCCCTGCCCACACTCACTATAAACTAAGTTGCGTCATGAGACAAAACATCCGTTTTCTTTTTGTGAGCTTCTAAGTCTTGGAAAACATTTGAGTGTGCGGGTTCAGTCATCTACTGCTAACACAAAATATAAATGATCAATCTGAAAGCCATGCAGTTCACAGCAGAAATACAAAAAGAGGGACAGCTCAGAGATGTGCTATACTGTTTATAGGAGAGCATCAGGTTCACCTCTAAGAACTGTTTAAATATGGGTATCAGTGAAATGCAGCTGAAAAATTCAGATCAAGTATTAGGAACAGAGTCACCAAATCCTGCCACAAAACATTACCTATCACAACACAAACTGGAATGGCTGGCAGTCAATACTAATACAATTTATATATTCATGCATTTAGGAAACAAATGGTACAGCAGTAAAGAGAGGCTAGGACATAGTAGAAGTATAAACTGTGGACAGATTTCTCTCATTAACCACTAGGGAATGGAGTAGCTGGAGAAGCTCCTCTAATGGCAATTGGGAGTAATGGAACCAACTGTTAGAGGCTATAAAATGTAACATGTCTCTCAGAGCACATGCTTTCATTGCTTCCTTTGTGAAGATTCAGACTTTATTATGTAGCCAGCCCTCAAAGTCATGATTGTACAAGGCATACATACAAGAAAGGATTATTAAAGATTATACATGTTTGCAAAGAACAAGAACAAACAACTAGATATTAATCCATGCGCTTTGCATTGTTAATTTTTTATGCCATGAAAGGACTGGAAAGGGCAATGTAAACTTTCACCTTCTACCCAAGCACTGTAAAACTGTCAGCAGACCTAGTTATTTCCTGGAATAAAATTCAACCTCAGACTTTACCACCTCTGTCACATAAATAGGAACAAATACATTTGCATACACTGAATTCTGAAAAGCTACACTCAGAGAAACATATCTCACAGCTTTGTTGTTGGAATAAAAGTGACTGTAATATGTTCTTAAAATTTGTATCTCATATGCTTTATCCTTAGTTACTGAGAATTATGGAAAAACCCAAATCCAGATAGGAATTTATAACTGTAGATAACTTAGGCCAAGATACCAGTGCTCCATGTCTAATAAAATACATAGGCAGATACATTTAAACATTTAAAGAAAACAGAAGCTTTTATGTGAGTCTTGGGTGAACATCTTTTTCCTCAACAGACAGGCATAACCACCTCTCAAACTAGTACTCCCTAATTACAGTTTGCAAATATAGGTTTTGGTGCACACATGCGGACAACCAAAACCAACCAAATTCTCATTATTTTTTTTGTTAACTCTAGCTATTCACCCCATGGTCTATGTGAACAATGCTGAAGTGAATCAAGTTGGAGCTAAGTTTGGAGGACAACTCTTTTAGAATATAATACACTGAAAGTCTTGGTAATACCTGTAATACGGCTATGTTTTGCTAGAGCCTTCTACATACACTCCATCACACAAATCATTTTTTCAGAATTAAAAGAAAAGAAATGTAAACAGAGAAAGAGACAGGAAAAAAGTATTGAAAGGAAATCTTGAGCAATTGATTGAGGCAAAATGGACAGAGGGAATTGTCCCTCATGCCATGCATGAAAAACAGTTACAGGCAAGGCCTAGATGGTCCTTGCCAAGAAGTGCTCTGTAGTACTAAACTCAGAACACAGAAAAGCTTTTCCATGGAAAGAAGGAACATACTAAATACAGTGGCATCTGTATAGCTACATAGGAGATCTGAGGGCACAGCCAGATTCCCTCTGTTTGAATACCCTGAGGTCGAGAAAAAAACAAAGGGAAGGAAATGTAATGATGCAGTCAGAGAAAGATGCACCCTGACCTATGATAGACAGTCGGTGATCAAAGTTTTGCTTTCACAGCAAATTGTTTACATTGTAAACAGTTTAAAACAATTCAAGTCTCAATACGTTAAACACTGCCTATATGCACATATTTAACATGACATTTGCACAGGTTTTGGGCACACAGATGTGCCTATAACAGGCTTTCTTTTGGATGCTACACAAGAACATCACTTATACATAGGAGGAGAATCTGTATTCGTACAACATTTTAGAGCAATATTTACCTTCTGACTGTCATGTTCAAAAGTTGAAAACCAATGTTCTGCAGTTTTCATAAGACGTGTGAACATTGCACTGAAGGGGAAAAACCCAGAAACTTGGTGTTAAATAATGTATTACAAATAAGAGCAAATTAAATGCAAAGGAAGTTGTTAAAACTTACTAGGCATCATGTTCCAGATATTCAGGATTCAAAAGAACTTTCATTTCCTCGCTGAAAAAGGCAACAGTGAACAATCCAAATGTGAATGTTTATTTTTGGTCAGCATTCTGCATGTACTATTATGTATTTATAAGCCAACTTTCATATAAAGTGCAAATGAGAAAACTAGCCTTTTTAATTAAAAAGAGCAATTCCATTGAACAAATGAAGTCTTCCCTTTTTATAAAGATCAAAACCAAATTAGCTGCCTTGTCTGCACTACAATGAAGTAACCATCTAATTATTCCAAATAACAAATTACTGAATGTCACAATGTATTATTTGAATATGCTTGATCTAGAATAATTGATTGCTGCACAATCTATCACTGTCCCAAACAAAAAAATATGGTTACTGGTCAAATATGCAGTATCAAAACATTAATTTATTTTGTTTTAATAGCCTGTATTTTTATTGTACTTTAACAGCAATTAATCAGTGACAGCACCTCTTTTCCATCTACTTTGCTGCTTAGCTCTACTTTTTCAGTGGGGATGAAACAGAATGCTGTGCATGACACATGGTTATTTTAAGTTACTTAGCACTGAAGAGCATCTTCTAGGTAATTTCAGGATATCTAAGGATACACATTGAATAAAAACACACACTTGTAAATAATCGCCATCCTTGTGCTTAACTGCCTTTGGATAATCACGTTGAGAGGTGCTAACAGAGGTTATTTTATATAGTACACATAATTAATTGACTTTTATTCACTGCCAGACTCCAAAAGAGAGTGCAAAAAGACAAATGAAATGACCTAAATATCACAAGTGATACAAGAAGGCAACTAGTCCCTTTTTTTTTTTAAAAAAACCCACACTTTACATATAGGGCAAGAAAAAAAGCATCTGAATTTGGTTGACAGAATGATGTGTGATGTAATATTTTATACATATGTGTATGATTACATGCACACACACACACAGTTTGAGTGAAATGGAGAATCAATAGCTAAACTTAATGCTACTACCAAGTCAAAGGATAGTCAGACATTGCAGCTACAACATTGCAGGTGATGAAAGAAATAGCAATCACAACAATTTGTCTACATTGATTTTTTTCTCTTTTAAGATGTGAGGAAAGGGAGATGGTAACATGTCCGTTCTATGACTGTAGCTCTCTAATCTGCCTCCTCTCTGAAATGACAAAAACTAAACCATTTCTGGCAATAAGAATGAGGTGAAACAGTAGGTGCGTAAGCTTTTTGATTAAGTTTTCCCTTTAGGTTTCTTGTCTTCCCTTTTTTGGCCAGCTAATATCTGTGAAAGGGACAATGTCCTTACTTTTAATCCCCCTTTCAGAAGCTGTGGTAGGGAAGATGAAATAAGGACATTCCCATAACAGCACGAGGATGCAACCATTTCTGATATCAATTTATCAGCTATAAACAAAGAATTAATGAACACATATTTCTAAGTTCTAGCCCAGCCAACTTCATTTTTTTTTTTAAGAAGGCAGATTTTTAATATTATACAAATAAAATACAATGCTTGCCTTGGTTGTGCAGCTTCACTGGCATGTGAAAAAGCTTGGTGGTCACAATGCAGGATAAAGACAATGGGAGCTAAAAGTTCATGCATGCCCTAAACATAAAAGGAAGCAAAAGTACAGTAAGATTTTCCAGTCATATAACAGTACATAATACATAGCATCAAGCAGCCAGCAATAATAGGTGCAGACTAACTAAAAGCAGGAACATTTACATTCTTAACAGAACGGTTTCATAATCAATGTCTTTTATCCTAAATTCTGATTAAATCCAAGTGTTTATTCTTCTGTAATATATGGAAGCAAGTTATACTCCCTTTTTCTAACACAACAGACAACAAATTGGCAATGGTAGTCAACCCTGCACCTGGCAGTTTACTCCAAGATCTATGTTCATAAATATGAATTTTATTTATGATAATTACAATCATGATCCACAGTACAAAGATCTGCAACAGGGACAAATTAAAAAATTTAAAATTAGTTTTTATTTGATAATGTTCCAAAACAAGCATAGCAGTAGCCTTTAGAAGAGACAAGGGCAGCTATTTGGAAAATCAGAAAATGAAACTTATATTCCTATGGACGTAAGAAATAAAATTTTTTTGCCTTTTTTTTTTTTCTTGAAGTCGTTATGTCAATATTAAAAATCAAGTCATTATAACACAATGCATAGGAGACCTGGTACTGTTCCATTACAAACTATTGCTTATATGTCCAATCTATATTAAGATACAGAAAAAAATATAGAAACATGCAGGATCAGAAGAGAAAAAATTGGTGGGTAGTTGAGGACTTGGGCCAGCATTAGAAGCATGGTTGGGCCACCCAGGCCAGCCATCAGTGCTTTTACCTGGAGCTCACCAGGAACAAAACAGGAGTCTTGATTTGTCTTGATTCACCTGGGGCTTGTCAATTTGTTATCAGAAACAGAAGCAACTGCTTCAGGAAACAAGCAATCCAGTTGGCAAGCAGCAACGTACTGGCAGGTAAAATTATAGCCTGCAGAATTAAACCTCATCTTCAGCAGATATTCAGTCCCTTAACTCAGATTGGATCAGGGAAAAGGAGGATTTGGGCTATCATAACTGGGGAACTTGGCTATTTCAGGGGAGTTGGGCTCCCAGTGGTGGACTGGGATGGCAGGTAGGAACTACGCAAGCTACAGGTTGGGGTGTAACTATACAAAAGAAGTGAGGGGAGCCCTTCAGTGATGGAAGGGATGAGGGATGAAGGGTTGAGACCTGTCTGGCTGCCTCTGGCCACAGGGACCACTCCAAGGGGAGGGAACTCCTGACCTCAGCCCAAAGACACCAGCTACAGCTGGGCCTTGGTGCCAGGTGCCCAGGCTACCCCGTGCTGGGTCTCGCTCTGGATGGACTCCTTGCCCTGGCTGCAGGAGGAACAGTGTGCTGCTGGCAGTGCTCCAGCTCAAATGTGCAACTACTTCACCAAGTGGAACCTCAGTCCCAACTCCAGGTGCATGCTCTAGGCAGACAGGGGTGCCAGGGAGACCATCTTGTCCATCCTGTTGGCAGAAAGAGCGCTGGGGCTGGTCCACCAAGCTCACAGGCATTTCAGGCTGCTGCTGGGAGCCAGATGACTCCCAGACAGGAGCTGTTCTATTCCTAAGCTTGCATTTCCAAGCTAGGAAGCCTCTCCACTTGCTTTTCTAGGCCTTTCAGTGATGGACAGACATGAGCAATGAGAGAGTCACACCGTTGTGCAGCTACCCTGCTGATTTGCTGGTGTATCACTTGATATTCTATGTTGCATTTGAGGACTATTGAATACCAGTGAGTTAGCGTATCAGTTTCGTATGTATCAAACAGATCCATTAACCACTAGAAACCTTTAACTTTTATTGGAAATAATGGGGATTTTGCTTAAGTGGTCCAAACAGAGCAGAGAGGTAGATGTGGAAGCCCTCTCTAGATCATTATCTATTCTGAGTGTGCTCAGATGCACATTAGTGAATCTTATCTGTTCGTAAGAGGAAATTCCAATACCTAGCAGTGTTGACGAAAAAAAAAAAAGAGGTTTGGAAACGTCTCTGTGTGCTATCAACTGAAATCCTAGTAAATTTTATTTTAATTTCTTCTGAACTGAGATGACTGTTATAGCCTCAGCTGTAGGGTTGCAGCCATAGCATGTCAGTTGACTGGTCAAAGCTAAAGACAGTAAAACTTCTGAAGTTTGGAGTTTTTCTTTCTCTTCCTATTTCTGAACCTTTAGGGACTACTTCAAAAGATGAAGGCTAAACAGAAACTCAGGAAAAAAAAAGATTAAACCCGATGTAGCCCTTTGATTTCAGGAGCTGATATAAAATTCCCAAACACAACAATATGGGTTAGATTACAAATTGACAACTTTAGATTTCTGAAAGTCTTCCGGTCATACCAAGAGGCAAAAGAATAGGAAAGACAGGGGGATAGGTCTGGGATTAGACAATAAATGTAAGTGGCAAAAATATTTAAATAAACTGTGGATAACCTGGGTTGTACTTTCATACATACTCACAGGCCTCAGTTAATTAACAGCTCCATGTCTAATCTTTTATTAGCCCTGATATACTAACATGATATAAGAGAAATGGAAATGACAAAAACTTGACTATCTAATAAAACTACCACCTAAGCTGTAAACATAGAAGCTGAAGAAAGAGGACATAAAATAAGAATTAGTTATAAAAGATAAAAGCACATCATGCAGTCTTCCAACATAATAATATATCAAACTTATAATAAAGTAGAATCATAATGTGGCTGTCCACATACAACAAAACCTAAACAAACAGATGATGAAATATCAGGATTTCAAAAAGATACCTCTGATCTTTCAGTTACAAGAGTACTTCAAATGTTTAGAGATTTTTAGCTTGGCAAGAAAAGCTACCAGTGTAATATGCATACACAAATTTTTTCAATGCTGCAGTTTACTAAAACTCTTTAGTGTTAATAAATAAGTTGACAGAGCTCAGATAATTTTATGACACTTCCCAGATACAACAAAGTATTGATTTCATAATACAGTCTATGATTGAGAAAGAAAACCAGAAATATAGCATTTCTACAATGAAAAGTGAATCAATGCATTTCAAAAATATATTGACTTCTCTAAGGGCAATCAAATCATGAGCAAACAATAGTTAGCCTAGTGATTTAGCTTAATTTACACTGTTTTTTTTCAGTGTAACTAGAAGCAGAATTTTGGCACCACTCTTACAGAAGAATGCTAAGAGTAATTTTTACATATTCTTAAGTACAATATACTATTCTCTTTAGATTTTATATTTACAGCTGCTGTTTAAAAATTCAACGATCCCAGTGAGGATTCTGTCTTTAAAATCTGTAACACAGCTTCACAACATTCTACTCCATTTGACTAGGGACAGAAATATCTTTTTCCTCATCAAATAAAATGTTACTTCACGCTGGTCAAAAAAGCACAAACCCTACTACAAAGACAACTTTCATGCATATATGCATATTAAACAAACATTATTGATTGCTTCTTTTAAGACTATATGCTGATGCTATGTAATAGTTTCAATAAAATGTAAACTTCAGATACACTTTATTTACATTTATAAGGATGCAAATTGTCAAGGAACTAGAACTTTTTCCAAATATTTTGAAAGAGAAACATCGAGTTCTGTACACATGTTGACAGATAGAAGTATAAGTTTTCATTCATGGCCAAGTGTTATAATTCTAATATCAAATGTAGCTCTTGTATTTGGTCATACAAATGAGACAGAGTTCTCACAGAGAACAAGAAGACCAGTCCCATGATGGATACTGAATATGAAGAAAAACTCCTTAATTTGGGCTTTGTATTCAGGTCATGGTGGGGAGAGAAGCTTGGAGGTGATCTGTTATTGATGAATTAACGGTAACCTTCATTATTTTCAAGAAAATATGCTAGGCCTTGATGTAGTAGAGATTATTATGGGAAGTGGGGCTTGAGTCAATGGTAAAACCAGAACCAACAAAAACAGTAGGACAGGAAGATTGACTGCAACATAGGTATTTGCTAAAAGAGGGAAAAAACCATATCCTGTTGCCACCACAAAGTCTATTTGCTATCAGCTAATTCAGAGAAGGGTACTGATGGACATGAAAGAAATGTCACCTAAAAACAGAGGGACACGGGGACAAAAAAGCAGGATTGTTACTAATAAGCTAGAAGGAGTATTAATTAAAAAAAAAAAAAGACAAAACCCAAACAAAACCACCCTTTTAAAATTAGGTAAGAAAAAAGAAAAGCTCCTAATAAAAGTGACACGTCCACAACAAGAGAGGAAAATCACAATCATTTGCTGTTGTGTGGTGCTACTTGGCACAGCACCATGAGACTTGGGCAATATACTGAACACACTTCAGAGAGATTAAATCAACAGTTTTTCATGATCCAAATTTATTTGATTTTCTGCACTTCATCTCTCCCCTTAGTCCTGTGGCAACCCCTTCCTGGAATTACTGCACTACTGATGCACACCAGTTGAAAACAGAGGTAAAGAAGTTTTCTTTGTCAACAGCCTGTAGGCTCGCAAAATTGAACCTGTTCTTTTATCTGCCTATGTTCATTTAGCCCACCAAGCAGTCTTTATTAAAGCTGAGGCATCAGGCAGTCAAAGTTCATTAATACCATTTATATAATCTCTGCAGTTTCAATTAACTCAGCAAGACATTCTACTACATGATAACAGTCTCATTAATTCAATAAAATCCCATAACTATTAACAATATGGTCTATGTTAAACGGGGTGTCACCTAGTAGAAAATAATAGCTTTAACAGCTTGTGATGAAACTCAGGGCTTTTTTTTTTTAAATTTGATCTGGCTAAATATTCCATCCTTATGTAGAAAGGTATTATTTCTTGGTAAGGAATCAAGAGGATTTTAAATATGAGCAGAGGGTAATTAAGTCCTTTTAAGTCATATCAAAGAGTAAAATAATACTTCTTGTTCAATAAATGATAGACTAAATTAGCTGGAATGTGTTCTTCCATTTTCCTATCATCAGTACTCTGGCCTACATTCACTAGAAATGGGAGGCTGAATACTGCTGAAGTGTTTTCTTTAGCAGTGCCCTTCAAAATACAGCTCACAAATCTCATTTTTTCTTTTTATTATTCTTTATTTATTATTTATTTTAGATTATTCCTTGCTTACAATCTGTCAAACATGAGAAATAACCAGCTGATGGAGATTTGATATGTTTGATAACTATGTATTTGATTTTTGATATAATCTATAAGACAGTTCTTCAGAATTAACTTCCTTCAACTCATGTGTGTTGGTCTTTTCATGAAACACCACTAATATCCTGGCCTGAGGACAGGGTGGTCACAGACCATGCCTGAAAGCACACAGTGTCTTTTAAAAGTCGCCACATTTACTGAATCTCTGTTTTTTTGTCATGAATTTTTTTTCTCTATGTGAAGTTTGCTGCTCTACAGTTTATCCTTTGTCCATGGACACGGTATCCCTCAGTCTTTCATTCCTACTCACCCTACAGGTAATAGCCTGGAGAAACAAATACAAATATACTTATGACAATAACTCTGCCTATTGGTCTTGTTATGTTAATTTAGTATCAAGCTTATACTCACTTCAAAACCTTCACAACAAATGTTAAATTAATTTATCCCACATCCCATATGGATGCACAGTTTGTGCACCTTTAAGACTTTCTTTACCATTTTATCAAAAATGGTTTGAGCAGGCTCTCCTTCAGGTAACACTGTAAAAGTGGTATTGGTAGCACTCTTGCCCTCCAGTCAAGAGGCATTTGTCAGCTGCATTGTATTAGGATGCTACAGGGTTAGATAAAGGATCTATTTGCTAACATACTGCAGGGCTTTAGCACTTTGAGGAAGAACTTAAAATATTACATAAAACTTAAACCAGCAACTTTGTCTAAATTTCAGAAGTTACCATTTATGTCTTTTGTTTATTCAGTACCATTTTGAATCCTGCTGCATACTTTCTTTCTTTACCTAAGCAAAGAAAACCTTTCTTTTTCTTTCTTAACCAACACTGAAGAAAAAGATGTTGTTTATTAAGAAATTTGAAGTTAGACAACTTAGCAACCTTAAAGAAAACACTTTGAGGGACTGTCTTACGAGGAAAAAGCATATGTTATTCAATGAGCTTACTTTTCTTACTATCCAGCTAACAAGCAGCTCTTTGATTACTTTAGCATTATGATACAACTTCAGATACAACAGAACTACATTATTGTCAAACCGTATAGAAGATGTTGAGTCAATGAATGCCACCTGTACAGTATTTTCATTACCTGTTTATAAAGCAACTGCTCATTTTCTCTGGCATAGCAGAACAGAACATCTGTAAGAATTTTCCTCACATTCTCTTGCTGGAAATACTGCATTTCAGGAAAGCTGAAAATGAAGAAATACAGTGAAAGTAAACAATATAGCACACAGAATCTCAGTTGCTGGTCTTCTAGAAATGGGTTTAGGTAAGACAGCACATCCCTTGTCTGCTGTCCCACCGCTCTGTGAGTTGTGGGTGCTGCTAGAGTTAGGAATACTTCTGAAGACTTGTTATATTTGTTTTGCAACCAAAATTCTGAACCATGTTCTTTAATATACATCAGTCTGCTCCTAGATATGATGATATCACCGGTTATATTTAAATAAGCAATCCCTTTTAACATTATGAAAGCTAGAGATCTGCAAGAATGAAATACAATGGCAGACTGTTTTGATCGTCAACTTCTTACGCAGAACCAATCCACTGAAAATGAATGACTTGGAGAATCTAATCCAAATAAAACAATGTACCATATGAATATGTTTCCAACTGCCTAAAGGATCAAGTTCCTTTCCTCCTCCATCTCAAAGAGAAGTTGAGTTGAAGCAGAATGAAAGGAGACAGAACGAGAGGCAGCGACTGAAGCAAAGACCTACCCTCTCCTTCCTGCACACAGACTCTTACTGCCAAACGTAGCAGCCCAGAAGACCATTCTGGTCCCAGGTGGCACAGCATCCCAACAGTAACTTAACTTCACGACTGTGCTCCATCAATTGTCAGTCCTTCACTAATGAATCTATAACTTGCTTGGAACACTTAGAAAAGGAGCGTGATCAAAAAATTCAAGCAGACGCTTCTCCCCTCAAAACAGTCAGTTAAAACTAAAACTGTTGCAAACAGTTATTATTGACTAATTTGATCAAGGTACTGGAAAAATAAGCGCCGAAGATCAAATCTCCATGGATAAAAAACATACTCTATATGACAAGCTCCCATTTTTTTCATGTCTTTGGTTGGCAACTGTAACTGGATCACCAGTCTGCCCTGCAGTTTCATGAATAGTGCTTAGCCCTGCTCTTCATTTTTCTCAAGATGAAAGTTGGGCAAAGGAAGAGTACAAGAGCTACAATATGTTAAAGAAGTCTGTAAAATTTACAGTTCTAAACTGGAATAAAATGGAAGAAAAAAGAGTATGTCAGAAGAAGCCTATACACAAGGGTTCAACTTGGAAAATGATTAGCATTTTAATGACAAGGTTATTAAAATATCTCACAACCCACACGAAAACCAGTATGCTAATTTTCTTGAGCTCTAAACAAGCTCCAATATGTCTTACTAGCATCTTTTGTGATGCAACATAATTAGGCATTTCACTGTCTTTAGTAGCTGTCTCAAACTTTAAAATTATGAAATCATTTGATACTCTGGCAGGGCAACTATCCTTTAAGTGAAATAGAATGAAGTGGAACTGGTGTGAGAATAAGGGAAAAAAGCCTCTGGGAAAATCCTGTTATCTGTGTATAATCCAGGAAAATGTAAATATTTACATTCTGTAACTATTCTGAAGCAACTCTCACCTGTGCATCCTGCTCCTTGGCTGTTGGAAGTAGGAAATAAAGTGGTTATGCAGGATGCACTTTAATGAGTAAGTGCACAAACAAAAGTGTTTTCATGCTTACCGAAGAAATAACTGGATGGCAAAAAATATTTCATAAAGCAACAACCCTAATCCACATGCAGCTATGTGGAGCAATAACAACAACAAAGCAGCTATCTGGAAGGGTACAACACAAAAAAGAAAGGTAAAGGTAAAGTTGGACAAAGAAAAACAGAACAATACTTAAGAAGACAACAAGAGTAGGCCTCAGGCGAGATTGCTGAAATAAAGGCTATAGTATTGTCAGTTTTAAAATGGCATCACATGGATTGCAGGTATGTTTTCTTCAAGGAAATTTTGTTTTTCCTGCTTCCCAAGTTGAGCTACAATGCTAAACTTTAGACCAGTTATATCCAGGCTGTTGTAAAACCTGTCATGGAGAAACAGTATAGGGAATTATAATAAATTACTTCAGATAAAACCATTAGTGTTAATAACGACGGTGGTCATCTCACAGAAGTGATGACAGGTAAGCACAGAAACATAACTAATTAAGGCTAGAAAGGTGCTTTGAAATGCTTGGATGAAGGACCTGAATCAACAGCCAAGCCAGAGAAGACACCGTGCTTAAAAGCAGCAATGCTGAAGTCCTGACAAAGGCATTGGGATGAATGGTGTAACGTTTTCCTGGCACCTGGTGGGGGTAATGGTAGACCAACATTTGGAAACTTGTATGCACTTGTACTAATCATATTACTGTAAAGGAAGGACACAGCTGAGACCAAAAGTGCATTACAGCAGATGGCAATCGACATAATTTAGGGGTTTGAAGAGATTATTTCTGAAGGACTGTTATTCAGGCCTGCCCTATGAAGTTTAGGAAGAGAAGACTAACAAAGAAAACTCAAAAATACACAGATATATCTGTGAGGATCTAGTAATACCAGAGATTGAGACAGAAAGGATAATAATGAACTCAGGAATAAGCTGGCTGAAGTATTAATTGTAGTAAATGTAAATACAAGAGATCAGGAGGGAACTATCAGTTCAGGATGGATTTTTATAGAGAATGTCATTTTATGATTAAAGCACTGTTTTAGAAATACAGTATCCTCAAATCAGGCAAGGTAAGAATACTTTTCATGAACACCAGAATATTACATTTAATTACATTTCTGAGAAAGACTGCATAAGAACATGGGAATTTTGCCTGACTGTTTTACCACAACTCCTACAATTAAACAACGGCGCATTCAAGTCTCTGCTTTCTGAAAGTGAAGACCAGCATGAGTTAGTTATCATTTTTTAAAACATTCCTTTAGCCCGTTTAGGGGCCCCTACACAAGAGGCAGCCAGACTTTGACACAGAAGAAACTTAGGCTGGCAACCAAACAAAAAGATGCATAAATACTTTATGAAACAAATGTGGCGGCAGACAGAAATGAAGCTCTTAACCACAGTGGAGTGACCATCTTTTCTTTCATGAACAGATTCCATCCCCTGCCATTCCCCAACCCTGTTACTCAGCTAGAATACGGAAAGCTACTAAACCAGAAAAAATGGAAGATGGTCTTGCAACTGCAAAGGTTTGGTAAGCAATAATAACTACCCTCCCACCCCCATTGCTCACTGTTTTCTTGAAAAGGAATAAATTGGTGTATAAAGTTAGCTCTCTCTTCCAGCAGTCCCTCCTCTTACACAGAAATTAGATTTTGCCTCCTGTGTTCATGCTAAATGAATTGCTGTTTCTTCCCATCTCTTCTATACGCTTAGGAAGGATGTAGCTGCCGAATGGCTTCTCCACTACTTTTTTTATGGGTGGTTTGGGTTTTTTTTGTTATTTGGGAGATGGAGAGCTTGAAACAGCAGCACCTACCACTACTCATTTTCACACAGCTTCCATTGTCCTAAACTGTGATTGTTACTCCTGAAGCAGAAACTAGGTAGACCAATATATAAAAATACTGCTACAAAAGAAAAGAAAACCACTTGATTAGTCTACTGGGAATGGCTCCTAAGCATTTTGTTTTCTTAAAATATTGAGGAGAGAAAGAGGGTAATCAAAGCTAGCCATTTACAATCCTAGATGTACAAGGTGATGCCAGCAAGTAGACTGGTGTTTTGATTTGACTGGTAGCTAGATGCTCTTGCATCTGCCAATCTGCTGATTTCCATTTCTGCAGAATATTTTAAAAAATTCTTCTTTATCACTTACCTTCTTAATCATCACAAAATAAATCAGCATTGTTCCTTGGTACATCTTTTGAATGACAGTAATTAATCATTGCATTCTTAAGGCTGTTGTGAGTTATTATGGTGCTAGTTCATACACACCTTTCTGTCTCAGTAGAATCGAATGCAGTATTATAGTCATAACTTGGTTGGTACTGCTATCTACATTTAAAGTAAGGCTTTTACTTGCATTATAGTAAGCCTCTCTTACCCTCTTTCCCACCCTTATTTTTGGAAGCTTCTCACTTGAGATAGAAAGAGATGGTGTTTTGTTCCAGCTTGAAAGTACACGTTTCTGGACAGCTGAAGGAAAATCCACTCTGAACCTCTCAACTACCGTAAAAAGTAAGTCAGGTGATTAATCAGAAATGTTCATCACTAATGAGTTAGGACTAACTTAACAAAATCCTCCCCTACTTCCCTTGTAAATACTGGAAGTTCTTATTATGCAACAGGCAAAAATTATATTTAGACATTATGGCTTGGATTACTCTCACCTGACTTTAGGTGACTACAGTTTAGTTAGTTACAGGTGAGCTAGAAGTCTTCTATAATTACTGAAGAAAAACATACTTCTCTACAGTGTGATTCATCAGACCTATACTAGACGTTTACTTTAGGAGGAGATGATTTGTGCCCTAGAATTCTTCAGGTACATAGACTCTAAAGGATGATAAGCCCAGTTGTGAGAATCTGTGTTTTACAAATCTAATTATTAGGTGAGATAAGGATTCACAAAATGCATATGAACACACACACACGAACAATCTTTCACCACAGTTCCCTTTAGGCAACAGAATTCTGAAATTCAAACCAATTTAAACCAACACCAATTTTAAAAGCATATTTCTACCCACTTTTCCCACCTATTATTACTACACTTCAGAGAATTCTCATAAAAACATTACAGGTAAATTTTTTACTGCTTTGATAGTGGGACTCTGGTTTGCTACTCTGTGCAGTCTGCATCACTCTCTACAGCATTATTTACTTGATGCTGTTGGTTGATGGGAGTACTGAACTCAATGGCAAAGAATATAAAAATATTCGTTAAATACGAAACAGAAGCTAGAAGGTAATGATTACAGTAACTGAATACAATACTCAATTATTTTAACCTTTAATAAAAAGCATTGTAAGTTAATGACAAATTTTTAAATTGTAACGCCAGGAATTTATTGAAAGAATGGAAATGAAAAGGACAACGTTAAAGAGATGATACTTACCTTCCAAAGCCAAGGAATGTAGAACTTACTGCTTCTTACACTAATGATAGTTTACAACAGATACATATGTATACATAAAATGCACACTGTGTTTTATGATTACGCAAACAACAAGTGTATATATAAATGCATGTAGTTCATCAAATAAATTCATGTTACTTTGATAAATTTTGCTCCTTCATTGTTTGACATATTTTGATATTGATGACACATAATGTATGCTGCTATTGTTTGAAGGAGACATTATTTTATATAAAAATACATAAATGGAAATCACTATTACTGATATTAGTGAATATTAGTCACTCTGCCATTTGCCAGAGTGAGAGCCTGGACGTTATGTGTGTATATATATTTTTAAATAACAGTCTCACATCCAACATAACCTCCATACAACTTTTCATTCTCTGATTATAGTTTAGATACGTATATATTTTAATCTTAGAACATCCTGAACTGTTTCCTTTAACAAACAAAAAATACCATCTGTGAGAATGCACATGAAAGCATACTCAGATTTTAATTATACATCTCATGGCAAAATGCATTCAAGAATGGGTCTAGGGACGGACATATAAAATATTCCAAAACCAGACAGCAATGATTTCTTCTGCATGACTTTGTTTCTGTAAATGAAAATGTGTGAGCTTGGGATTTGTAAAATCTATGACTATCCCTACTTTTTTCAGGTTATAAGGAAAAATATTTGCAATACAGTAAAATTTCACATGGTAGCAAACCAGTAATTGAATTTAATTAGATTTACACATCAGTCAATGCTTCTACTCTGAAAAGAAATGTTTTCAGGAACTGAGTGTTCTAACTCAAACAAGTTCCTAAACAGGAATGACCTAAGGGCCAAGAAGATGAAAACATAATCACAGTAATATTAGGACAAATTTTAAAAGGCATATGTGACAAATAACACTAGGAAAGTGATAAATAAAAATAGAAATGCTTAACTTCTCTAGTTGAGTGATATTTCCCTTACTAATGACAAACTGTTTTTTTATTATTGATTGAATAAGTGTTAAGAATTAATCTGTTCAATCTTTTATTATGATCATAATTTAGTTACAAGACCTTTCAGTTTCTCTTACCTTCTATTTGTTTCATATGGAAAACTCTACTTTAAATTTCACATAGTAATACATTTCCTAATATCTTAATTTACAAGAGCTTTTCTTCAATGATGCCAATAAATCTCCAGGGTTTAATGTTTAACCCCATTTTCTCATTTTTCACTCCAAGAAAGCTGTATTTTTATACATTTAATGTATGTTTCTACACATTCATGTTCAACAATCCTGACATTTACACTAACCAAAGTCAAGAAAACACAATATAATGTATACCACATAAAAACGCAGAATCTAAATTTATATATAGAAATTTCTTTAAAGATCTACATACGTTCTTGTCACATCTTGTTCAATCATTGCTCGAAGCTCTTTATCCTGGAAAAATTTATTCCAAAGACTCTGAAATAAGGAAAAATAATTGTATGAAACAGAGACTTCTACTAATACTTAAGGCTTATATACTACATCGGCAAAGTACTGTACAAATATTAACTAATTAACCCTCACCATTCCTGGTAGATAGGTATATCAATATTTTATGGGTGAAAAAGAATGTTGGTGACCAGCTGAACATATCTGAGAAAGTCAGCTTATGTCAGAGACGAAAACGTTCAAGTTCCTAGATCCTTGTTCTAGGCTCGCTCCATTTGCTTACTGGATGGCTCCAGGTCTGTGAGTTACTTGTAAGGGGTCTATGAAGACTATTTAGAAAGGCAGAGTAAATTAAAACTTAGTAGAACCAGCAGCTCAACTTGAAAAAATTCAGTAGTTCACTCATGGAAAAAGTTCTGTATCACCGTACTGTACTACATTTCTCCTATGAATGTACGGACTCTAATTGGAAGCTGCTATAATTTCCATACTAAGAAATTGTTTGGGAGTAAGCTAGTTTGTCTTAGTGGAGGCAAAACCGAATAAGAAATGTATGATGATCAAATATCTATTATGAAAATGACATCATTCTAATGGCGCATACACACAGTGCAGATCAAGACTGGCCATTCTACGAAAGTTCTGATAGGGAAAACCAGGGTATTTAAAACTCACTGTCAACATAAAAAAAATATTAAATAAAAGAGTTTAAAGTAGGTTTAGCCTTCTTCTGTGCTTATGACCATTTCCATCTCTTTCTTTGGCTTCCATGCCTTGTTTACCAATATTTTGCAAAAGCTAACCTGAAAGAAGTCAGCAAATGTTGTTGCTTGTATGCTCCAGAAAAAGTACTGTAAAGCCTATTCTTTATTGTAAAGGGACGGTACCTTGGCCATATTGATCAAAATACAGAAGGAAAAAAATCTATAGTAGTCTTTTCATGCAGCTTAGTTTTCAGATAGCAGCAGCACCAGTGAATGAAATACCGTACAAAGAGAGTGGCTACAATACTTCCAGAATTTCTTGCTCCCCTGTAAACAATTCATTGCCATGGTGGCTTATGCTCCACAGAAAGAAAAGAGAAAGTAAATTAATGTTATCTAGCAGAAGCAAGGTAAAGTAACAAAAAAGAAAATGTTAATTAGGTTCTACATTTGTGTTACAAACTATGAACACCCCCCCCCCCAATTTTAGAAGTATTTATATCCTTGACAATGTCTTACATAAAACTAGTATCTTTTTAACTCACAGCTCTTTTCATGCACCTAGATCACATTTTGAAACTCCCCTGTCCCTGCTCCCACCCCGGTCCATCAGAGCAAAGGACAAAGGAAACAGAACATTCGTTGCAAAAAGGAAGCAAAGCCCAGGACGCTGAAAGGGTAAAACATTAAGTCACTGCAGAGGCTCAGAGGCACTTTGTTTTTCATTCCTATGCCTGGTTTGGCCCGTGGCTTTGTTTTATAGATTAATCCCCTGCCACATACTCTGACATGTAAACCTTTGTCTTCTATCTCCTAAAGACAACACAGGCAGAAAGAAGGTTGTGCCACTGTGTATAATCACAAACTACAGCAGAAACTCTTTAAACCTTTTCACATTTGACACAACTTTCTGTCCAGACGGATGCAAGAATGGTTTCATGGCATGCACAGTCATACCAGCTGCAAAGCCACCGATATGCCTATGATCAATACTTCCATGCTTCCACAAGCAAAACTCTCTCTCCTTCTACGTTAAATATGAAGCAGAGTACCACACTAAATACAAACAAAATATGGGCTTCCATTTTTGTGAACAAAATGGAAACACAAGCAGTACCACCAAAGATATCTGTGACAGTCTTTCCAGGTGTAAACCTCTTAAATGCAGCCAAACAAATTATTTTCATGGTATTAAGTTATTTTGAAAATGTGATAAAAAAGAATTTTCAGAAATGGTAACATAATTAATGGAGAAGCTTAAAGATATGTACTATAAAATACCTAAGAGCTTTTCAGGTATAATAAAATGCATCATTGGGGAAAAAAAAAAAAAAAAAAAAAAGCCTACCTAAAATTAAGCTCCCAAATCTACATGTAAACCCTCATCACAGTCTCATGACTTTGAAAATACCAAGCTGCTAGGAGGTCCCATTAATTTCAGTGAGAGCTGGATGCTCTGCACTTAATGACAGTCAGGCCAAATACTTTTACCACATTTTCAGTATTTCTTTAAAACCTGGATCTGTCATTTTGCAGCTGGCTGCTTTCTGATTAGAAAAGAAACTTGTTTCTTTTAACTGTATAAAGAAAAAGAATTAAAAACCTTGGAAGAAATGCGTATCTTGCAGCCTAGTGCTTTAGACATTAACTCAGAACGTATACAACTCAGACATACAACAATTCTATTTTTGCTAGAGAAAAACTTCCAAGGCTGAACAGTCTTCCAGAGGAGGGTTCTTCAGTATTCGCTGTTAACAGCATTCCCTTCATATCGACTGTTTAAAAACTCCTTCAATTAGAGCCATTTTGCGTATAAAATGAAAACACACAGCGATAAAAAAGTGTATCAGTCAAAGAAAGGATATGCTGTGAAGCTGACTCATAGTCCAGCACTGATTTTTTGTTCATTGCAGTCTTCCCTATGATAAGCCCTGAAAAATCAGAATATGAACCTGGAAACGAGCATTTCTGTTGTTCAGCAGAGTCTGTGAACCACTGTTAACACAAATCAGTTTGGAAATTTAGGACGGAGATTTTAGCACCTGCCATTTTTCCTTCTTCAGCAAGAACTCACTTGTGTCAGTATGATGATGATGAGAATTTTAGTAGCACATATGTTGATAGAACCAAGGGTCAACTTACCCCCTCGTCCTGAGAGAGTGGGTTGTTGATTATCAGATCTTGCTGTCCTGCTTTCCGAGGGTTTGTAATGTGCTGGGTAAAACCAGAAAAAAATCAAATCCTCTTCTGTTATATTGTAAGTATTGGTATCTCTGTCAATGCATGAGAGTAGAAAACCTATTTTGTACCAACTTACAATTTCTTTGATCTTATTGTAAGAAGTTCGTAAGTCTGAAGTGGTTTTAATCCATTGACTTCTGTCTTGGGGTAGAACCTCCAGAAATAACTATCAACAAAACAAAATAAATCCATTAAGTTTAATCAATTTAACATAGCTTTTCATATAAATCCTACTGGACAGCATAAACCGTCTCAGAAAGGAGGAGCAAGTACTCTGCACATAAGGAGAAGAGAGCACAGACCTATAAAATATTCCTAGCTTTAGTACCTTCCAGTCAATAAATAAGGAGCTAGAAACAATAACAGTTCTATAGGTAGCAAATAAAGCATCAAAAAACCCTGAAGCCACAAACTCAAGCTTTGTAAACTGTCACAACTTCAGTAAAGTTGACTGAGACTTCCAAGGCAGAAACAAAATGCAAAAAAGAGATGGAAATAAGTACACAAAACTTGACACTGTTTACATAACCCTGATGAGCTAATGCAACATGCTTAAAACCAAACATGAATGTAGAGCAGAAAGTAAGCACTCAGAGATACACCCTACCTAAGGAATGTGGAAAGGGAAAATCTTAGTCTATAGAAAAGTAACATGTTCTAGAATTCTGCAAGACAGTTAAAAGTCCTTGAGAATGCCTACATCTCAGTTCTTTCACATTTCTGTTTAAAAAGGGTTAGAAAGAAACCTCTATTGGAAAATACTATTTCATTGCATACAAAACTGAAACAGTAAATACTGACAAACAAAAAACATTCCCAAATTATTAAAAATACTTAAATATTTCAGAACTTAACAAAAAATTGATAATATTTTTAAAACAGGCAGTCTAAAACAGAGCCCTAAGCCATATCAGGACATGCAAATAAAACCAGCCTTATTTCTAAAATAAAACCACTCCTTGATTTAATTAGTGGACAGTGAGGGACATGATGGTTTTGTTCAGGGTTTTGAGTTATGGCCTTATAATTTAGAAGCAGCAGCAGACTGGCAAAACAATGCTTGTAGCATATATGCATCTGGCCTCCTGAAGAAAGTATTTTCATTAACTTTAAATTTGTTCAATGCTACATATGTTTCAAATTTCAAACTTCAATTTTCAAATTTCTTTCATTCATATACAAAGAGTATTTTCATTTTCTTTCTATACGCCTTTGCGCCAAAGTGAAGCTTGGGAAATTCCAAGTGAGGTAATTTAAATTATCAGTGTTAACATACAGCATCTCTACTAGGGAAAATGTTCTCTACTATCAAAGTTAGTGCAGAACAGAAGACCTGATGCCAGTGCAACAAAATTCTTTTGGACTTCATATAGCATCTCAGTATGACTTTGCTTTCTTTCTTTCCTCTTTCCTCTGCAACTTTTAAAAAATACAGTAAGAGACCTGTGAAGACCTGTTCTATTTTAAGATTGGAAGAACTGGCTTCCCTCTCTATCCAGTCATTACAAGACGGATTGGTCCTCATTTTCTCAACTCGCTGGGAAAAACTGCTAGCAGAAGCATTGGACTGATTTTAAAGGAGTCCCAAGTTCTGCAAAACATAAACTGTGAGACAAACTTCCTTTCTATTTCCAGTGCACAACTTCACTGCACAGAGACTGAGAAAAGAGATGGCTGTGTGGTACTCAAGTCTAAACACACCACCCAGCACAAAGAGATTCCTTCCTAGGAATCTTTTGCTATCATTCGCAATTCAGCTTTAAGGCAACTCAACATGATTAGCAAATGTCCTATGAATTATAAAAATGAGTAGGAAAACATTGGGATGAAGTCTCTTGGAAAATTCATGATTCTTTGCATCAATAATCTTCCAGCGCATCAGGTAATGTGTTGATATATTGCAACCACAAACTGTAAATAAATATTTTCTCTTCTTACCTTCCAGCAAACACTACGGAACCTGCTGCTTCTCAGCTGCCCATTAATCCCCTTCAGCCGTATAGTTGCCAAGTAATTGTTGTTTACAAATAGTTCTTCCCATTCTTTACTGCATGCAAAAGCAAAAGGAATGAACATTTAAACAAAAAAAAAAAGTCTTAGCTGATTTAAGGACTATATGACACTACACAATTTTGGATAAGCAGAGGAAAGGAACTTTTTAAAATGTATATATTTAGTTGTGTACCATTTCTAAACGCATGGCTGTCTTTTTGGACACATTTCTTCTTTGGATTTAATGAATATGTAGATCGCTATAATTATGCCAGCTACTGAAATTCATAATGTCTATGGAGGCTATTCCATTTCCTCTAAAATGTTGGTACTGCAGTTCAGTGAATAAACAAGAAAAATGAATATTAATATAAGCACATTCACGTTTCAGCTGTAGACAAAGAAGTACCTATTCCAAAAATATGCAACAGAAAAGTATACTGTTGACTGTATTAGCTCCTCACATGACATATTTGCTTAAATGAACCTTCTTTTCTTCTTAATGCCAAGCTGGGCAGTTAAGCATAATAGAAGATGACTTTCTTTAACATTTAGTGCTATTTACTATTGAAATCACTCCTACTTCTTTCTACATGATCAGTTTTAAAATTTTAACAGGTGCTAGCAAATTTAAAAAAACATCAAAAAATTAAAAAGCCTCACTGTATAAACTGTTAAAGGCAAGCTTGAGTACCTTGCAGTACCTATGGCTGACTAGATAAACAACCTAAATATGCCTCCCAGGCATGCAGGCACCAGGGGCCTAACACCTGTGCCTCATTAATATACAAGTAAATCTGCTCTACTGGGAAACAATTGGAAATTAATTGTCCCAAACCATCTACTGAGTTTGAATAAAAGAATTAAATCTATATTTCCTGCACCTTCTACTGAAACGAATCTGAAGAGCAGGATAAGCCATTTGATGGTCTTAGTAGCCCAAGACTTGCTCACAGACTTTCTGCAACCACTCTAAAATCCAAAGGGTAATTTCAATGTATAAGAGCTGGGTTATGTGCAAGGAAATGTGTTTCGGATTTATTTTCAGCACATGTCCTTAAGGTGAACATCTCCCTCTCCCACTGTCACATGGGAGACTATTACTTCTCCCTGGGAAACCAAATGAAACCAGAAAGAGGGAAACTACTATTGTGACTCCAGGGTAAGATCTCACCAGATTTCCTTCGCTAAGGAGGGTCATAGAGTGGGTTATACTAAATACCAACAAACTCTGTTTTTGCAAACTGCCCTAAATATATGCAAGCTAGAGTTAGATAGTTTTCAGTCTTTTCAGCTGAGTTGTGAGGGTGACTTTTTTTTTAAACTTTGTTTTAGATAAAACTTGTTCAGTTTCAGAACAGAATTGTATGATACAGTGGCTGGGAATAGTTGGCAAGCCAGGAAATTAGGGTCCTGTTTCTCAGAGACAGAAGTGAACTTACAATCCACGCTGAGACCAGAAGCCTTGTGTTTGTCAATGCACCACCTTTCAGCCAGGATCGTTTTCTAAAAAAAATGGTGTTTAGTACTGGGCCTTGACTATTAACTGCTTTGAAAAGCGAAGGTACTCCAGATAAGGACAAAGATGACTAAAGTAGTGTTAACTTGCAGGGGTTAGGGCTGCTTTCAGCTTCTGCCAACTGCCAATACTCCCAAGTAACCAAATTAGCAGCAAGTGACTCCAGTGGTGTGGGGCGGCTTCCTTCCTTCCTGCCACATTCCCCATTCTCCAAGTCAGAAAGTCAGAAAGACTATCTGGTCACTTCACTGGCTCCCTATCTCCCATACATTCTCACCTTCTGCAGTGAGCTGCCTACGATTGTTTACCACGATTCTGTCTCCTTTAAATACAACGTATGGTATATAGCAGCCACAGCTTGAGAAAAATCTGGTCCTTTCTTTCACAGTCATTTATACTTCAGTAACTGCAGTATATTATGCCTATCTAAATAACCCTCCTGTTCCTATCATGTATAATATTCTTCGTTTGCCATTGTAAATTTTGTAGCATCATTGGCCATTATAACTACTGCCAAGCTGCCTCCCTAAGGTAGCAAAGCTTCAAGAGTGACACATTCCCCTGCGCACACAACAGGTCAGACTCTGAAGCTATTCACATTGTTCTGCAAGTGGATGACATTCCCACGTCTTTGAAAATGCCAGTATGTCAGCTGACTTAGCAAAAGGTTTCAACCAGTGTAACTGTGAACAGAAAGAACAGAGAGGAAAGAAACTCTTCAGGTTATTTTTTTCACCAAATGCTGGGAGTGATTGTTACACAGTAAGAAAGTAATTTCAACACTTCTTAAATTGTATTAGTGCAGATACTATGCTTTGTCTTTTTTTTTTTTTTTCTTCAAATTTGTAATGCAATTCCAAACACGTTTTGAACAAAATTACATTTAAAACAGCCAAAAGAAATTTGGCAAGATCATATCTCCTCCGCATCCCCCCTTGGCTGCTGGGATCACTAAAAAGAAAAGTTATGAGCAACTGAAAAAAAAGACTTGGAAGCTGGAATCTGCTTCAGTTTTAGTAGAGCTGAATGATACCTAAAATCCTTTCTGAACAGCATTCACTAATTCATTTCTCAAATATTTTGAATGAAGGCTAATAAATTAAGCCTTACAATTCTAGAGACTGTTTCAATAATGGTAACACTGTGTAATATCAACAAGCTATCAATTCTAAAAGGGTAATTTTTAAAATGATACAGCCCTACTCTTTAAACTAATATCTATGAGCCTTGTTAACCCAGGCTTGCAGAAAATTCATCGGTCAAAGCGAAATGAGCAATGAAGATTGGAACTCAAGTCTACCACATCCCATTTGCTTCACAGAAGTGAAAGACTTCAAGAGCCAATTGGAACCACTTAAACTATGAATAAGCACATGCAATTGTTTTTAATCAAACTAGAAAATTAAATGCATAATCATGTGTTAATACCACCTTTAGGTTGTACAATTAAAATAAAGGCAAATGCCAATGTTACTGTTTTTGAGTTATTTTGTACATATTTTTCATTTCATATTCTTATTTAAATACCCTGTCTAATACACTAACATACATATTGTAAAGTTTTAATAATATAAGGCCTGCACAAGGAAAACTAATTGGATTAATGTTTCTTTAAGAAACTTAATTTCACATGCTGTATCTATGCAGTAACCATCCAACGTAAAATATTTATTACCATGAGTTAGGGACAGTTGCATTACTTAGAAGTGGGAAAAGAGCTCAATATATACAAATGAAAAAGCAAGCAAATCAATGGAAGGGATGAAGGCTGCAGATTCGTTCTGCAAGGTTTGTTCTTAGTTCTCATCTGCTTCTTTCCATCTTTTGAAACATGCATTTATGTCATAACTACAAGAGTTTGAATCTGTCTGCAAAAGAATTTTATACTGGGGCCTGCTCTAATACACACACTTTCTTGCTTATAAGGAATGAGGTTGATCTCCTAGCAAACCATATATAAGCATATTCATTCTCCTCTTTCCTTCCAACAGGACGTGTTTTGTGGATCCAATGCTTGTTAAAACAATTATGAACATTAGATTTTCAGAGATAAAAGTCCAAAGACTTGGAAGAGAAATGTCTCTCTCTGATGACACACTGTAAGAAAGGGAGCACAGTGAACAGGACTTTACATCAGAAAGTCTAAGTAAAATTTTACATGCACGTAAATATCATTTTTGAAAAGGAATTTAACTCCCTGAGGTCTAGCATCTTAGTAAAAGACACTGGAATGCCACTGTGGCACAGCTATAGACGAACAAGCAGTTATAAACTCTTTAAGAATAAGTGACACCAATAATGTAACAATACACCTGGAAAATAATTCTGGAATTCAAATAGTAGTTCCCAGAGTTTTACTGAGGCACCACTGAGCTACCACATAGCACTGGGGAGAGGTACCAAAGACTTTCTTTGACCGATAGCCAGTAGTGGAACATCAGCCTCTGGCTCTGTTGCTAAATTTCCATTTGCAGCATAATGGCAAAATCCATGCATCGAGCATAGATATGCAGAAGAATGTAACTGTAGCCCACCTAAGGCATCACAAATACTCTCTTCAGAAGAGTTAGAAATACTGTTGAGGAAGAGTGGTGCAACACAGACTGTAATCACCGCTCGTTAACTTCTGCATTTACCTATTTACAGGATAAAGCTGCTGATGTATACAAATGCAGATCCTTCCCAAGTTTAAAGCTAGTGTAAGAAGCATTTTTGTACTACAGTGTTCGGACAACATCAAACTCTGTGGAACACATTAAAACCCACAGAAATGTAAAAATATGAATAGCCACATCAAACTACAATCTCTGTCACTGAAAAAGGGCAAAGCTTCACTTCTGGAACTACAGGGGCTCAAACTTACCAAGTAAATATTACTGTCCATAATTATTTCACTTTCAGTTGAAACTGCAGGTAACAAAGAAACCAGTATCTATAAGGTCCTCAGACAGCGGGTATAGTTATTTTATCTCATGCATTTTTAAAATATCTTATGCCAAGTTTTGAAAGGCCTTTTTTTGTGTCCATGATGAAACAAGACCAATTCAATATTTACAACAACATTTAAATAACAAGGAATATTTCTCAGTTCATAAAAGAATACTGCAATACTATTGAAAGGTGTGAACATTTGCATACATATGTGAGATTTCAATCTAAATCTTGAGCTTATTCTACCCTCTAGACCAATATTGAAGGATAAAATGGATAGTCTCATAGAGATCCAAAGAAAACTCTTGAGCAGTGCTGCTAGTATTGACAAAATCATCTAAAACAAAATGGTGTGCATACTCCCAGAAAAGCCAATTTTGCTTTTTCATACTGTTTTTTGTTAATCTTCAGTATTAATTAATCTTCAGTATGCTGAGACCCAAAATCAGCTCCCTGGAGGCACCCAATGAAGCAACAGGCTACTGAACAGGCCATCAGAAAGAGAACAAATTCTCAAATTATTGTGTCACATGTTTTGCAATATGAGGTCTTTATTGATAGTAACATCAATAAGTGAATGTAGTATCTGTATTTAAATAGAGGAA